AAACTATTATAATAGGCCTACTCAATATAAAATTTGTTATTTTCTGCAGGAAAGATTGAAAATGCCTTCTTAATTGTTAACATGCTAGCCAGATCTCTCAGCGTAAAACATGCAGGTATTTATTTTCGAACGATATCATGTGCGCGTATATGAGGAATGCAGTCAACAAAGAAAGGATAGTTAAATTGGGATTTTAAGTTGTCAACGTAATTAAAACACCATTATGGATAATAATGCATATAAAATCCAAATCTTTTAAAACTGGAGTTAAAAATGTGGGGTTTTAGGACCAATAAATGACTAATTTTTCATCACAAAAATTTCGCAGTCTCTCACAGCAGATTTTTTACAAAGGAGATTCATCCCCTCGTCCCATGCTAAGAGTTATCATAAGCCTACAGTGCTTGTCTTTCGTTAAAATGTAAGCAATTCTGTTAATTTGCAATAAATGAAGAGGATGTGCCAGGCTGTAAAATATCCCCCGCGAAAAATGTTAGTTCAAGAAATTCATCGCCTCATTTAAAAAAATGTGGTGTGGTAAAGATGTATCGATTGTACATAGGACTTGATAACTGCATCAGTAGTTGTCAACAAAAGAGTTACAGCCATGGTTACAGCATGCACGCAAAGATTGTACATGGTGGATACCTAGGCGGTTTTATTTACACGATCTTTTGTTACTTTTTTCGCCAGTGACGTCACGATTAAATCGTATATAATGGCCTATAACTTCATAAAAAATTGCCAAAAACGATTTTAAGGTTGATTCTATTAATGGCATATCAAAAATCCCGTTTAGAACAAAAAATCATTTAGTTCTCTTTTAAGGTCTGGATCCCCATAAAGAGAGACTTCGACCCTCATCTGTCGATGCCACTGGTAAATAAGGCTCTCTGCAGGTGTTGGGGTAATGATAAAGGAGGAGCTTTCAGGTCAAGTTATCGAAGTACTGAGAAAAAGTGACAGAATTATTGTTGTAGTGATGGTACAGGGGAAGCAAGTAATAAGAGTGGTTAGCTGTTATGCACAAGTTGGCCGAGATGAAGTAGAGAAAAATAAATTTTACGATGATTTAGTAGATGAATTGGGATTGAATGGAAAAAAAAAGAGTTCTTAGTCGTAGCAGGTGACTTCAATGGCCACATTGGAAAGGATATAGATGGTTATGAAGGAATTCATGGAGGTTTTAGTATAGGTACACGAAATAGAAAAGGAAGAAGGTTGCTGGAGTTCTGCGCAGAATCAAATTTAGTAGTGGATAACACTTGGTTTAAAAATAAAAGAAAGGCAACATTTCAATCTGGTGTTGCAGAAACTCAAATCGACTTTATGTTGGTAGAGAATGAATGGCGAAAAAAGATCCAAAATGTGAAAGTGATTCCAGGGGAACTCCAACACAGCTTACTGGTAATGGATGTTGGAAAATTGCATATACCAAAAAAGAAACAAGTGCTGCCAAAGAGGCTAAAAATATGGAAGTTTAGAGATGTGAAAATCCAACAGAAGTTTGCAGAAAAAATGGATGAATTGTGGATGAGTAGCTCAGAAAAGGATCCATGGCTAAAATATAAACTATGTACTCTGAACGCAACCAAAGAAGTATGTGGAGTGAGCAAAGGTAAGACACCTCAGGGTGAAACCTGGTGGTGGAATGAGGAAGTGCAAGAAGCAATTGTAAAGAAGAAGGTTAGTTTCAAGCACATGCAGAAGCAGAACACGGAGCAAAATAAGGCAAGGTATAAGAGGAACAAGAAGAAGGCTAAGAAAGTAGTTGCTGCAGCCATGAAGAAAGAAACGGAGAAAGAGCTGGAAATGCTGAGTAGAGGGGGGCCAAGCCATCTTCAAAAAGTTAAGAATTTTAAGGAAAGAGTCAAAGGAAAGTAACTGCATCAAGGGTAAGGATGGTAAAATCTACTTTGATGAAGTGGACAGAGGGAAGATCTGGAGAACTTATATGGAAAGTATTATGAATAAGGAGAATGAGTGAGATGGTGTAGTGGATGCAGAGAAAGTAGAAGGACCAGTGGAAGGCATTACGAGAGCAGAAGTGAAGAAAGCGCTGAACACCTCGAAAAATGGGAAAGCAGGGGGGCCATCGGGCATTACAAAAGAACATTTCATATCATCACAGCATGGAGTAGAAGTATTATATCAGGTGGCAAATGATATTATGAAAGGTGCCAGTATGCCGGATGATTGGAAGCTAAGCATCTTAATACCAATCTATAAGGGCTGTCTCTTATACACATCTAGATGTGTATAAGAGACAGAGATGTATCGATTGTACATAGGACTTGATAACTGCATCAGTAGTTGTCAACAAAAGAGTTACAGCCATGGTTACAGCATGCACGCAAAGATTGTACATGGTGGATACCCTAGGCGGTTTTATTTACACGATCTTACTTTTTTCGCCAGTGACGTCACGATTAAATCGTATATAATGGCCTATAACTTCATAAAAAATTGCCAAAA